TGAAATCTTAAATGACACAGCATAGTTTAGTACACAATCAAGGGGTGGCCAACCGGTCAATCGCGAATATTAGTCCAGTCGATCGTGGCAAGGCCACCCCTGTAGTCTATAATAAGTCTATTACAAATATTAAACATATTTAATCATCCTTTATTTAATTATCTGACATTATTATTTAATATGTTCCAGTCTCAACCAGTTGAGCAGTGATCAGATGAAGATGGTGAACCAAGCTCTCAAGATCTTCAGCAAGCCGGAAAATGGAAGCTTGGAGCCCACCTACGACCCAGTTACCAACACTCGCTTCATATACAAGTATGTACACAACTTAACGTAACACAGATTTTAGACTGAAAACTCAATATATCAAACTATACCTGAGGTATGGGAGTGGCACGGTAGGGGTGACATTGACATATTTTGTTACCTTAGGCCGTATACAGAAAGAAAGCTGGAAACTTATAAGCGCTTACTGGCACTTGACAGTGCTGGTAACCCGCGCAGGGAAATATATGAGCGCGCGCCGATAAACCGATAAGTTTCAACACGCGCTGGTCAGCGCTGGACGCTGCCATATAAAATGCCATTCAACTTGCTTCCTTTGTGAACGAACGGACCAGCGCTGACAAGCGCTTATAAGTTTCCAGCTTTCTTTCTGTATACGGCCTTAGGCACTGATTGAGTAAATTGCTAGACCTAAAGAACAAGCTACAGCATGGTTTATTTTTAACAAAAACAAATGTAGGTACTTCTTGAAGTTATAATCCTCTCTGGTTTTGTTTTCAGAGTTGTTTCACCAAGAGAGTTGACAGTAGTTGGTAAGAATAAGATCAAAAGAGAGGAGATAAAGAAGGAAGAGAGAAAAGAAGAGATTATCAAAGAAATAAAGAGGGAACCCAAGAAGGTTGCTAAAGTGGAGGAAGTTGAGCCAGAACCTGCAACTACTGTTCCAGAAGAGGTATGTAAATAAGGGCTGATTTTTCAATCGTCAAATACTAACTTTTAACTGAAGAATAACCTTGTCAATTTGACATATTTCCCATACTAAAACTGTCAATGTGCCAAACTTATTCTTCAGTTAAAAGTTATCTAACGATTGAAAAATCCGCCCTAAATAAAATACATAGTTACCTACTTATGTTAAAATGCTAAAGTATAGTTCCAAAATACTGAACTGTCCTATCCATGACATTGACAGTGGGGCGCCACCGTCAATACCGGATCGCTGGTTCTGATTTTTGTCATGTTGGAAACCATATAGTTGAACGATGGTAGCGCCCCCCTGTCATTGAGTTTGGTGGGACAGTTCAGCATGGGTCATCTATATGTCTGTGTATTACTTTTTCGTTCTACATAAAATAAAACTTGAAGAGAGAGAAATAAAGCTTGAATGGAGAATATTTATCAACTTATATGAAAGGTGATTGCAAAAATTATAAAGCCTACCTTATGTGCACTATAAAAAGTTTCTACACAAAATATTATTATTGTAGCTTTATATTCCACATTTTTACAGTTTCATTCAATTAATCTGTATCTCTTGTGTGGTTTCTATCTCAGAACAAAATCTGATGGCAAAAACTAGATAATAATAATAATATGTAACTTTCCATAACCAAGAAATAACAAAAAACTTTTGTTGTTTTTAGGTAAAAGTAACAAGAAGTGGCAGAATAGTTAAGTTCCCAAAGCAGATAGTTGAGGAGATACCACAAAAACCAAAAAAGAAGAATGGAGCTGTTGTGTCCTGCTTCCAGTGTTCGACTGTTAGTATTTATAAGTTTTACAGCTTTATTTTATTTTACATTGTTTTACGACTGTCTTTTTTTTTCCTATAAGAATTTTGCAAGTAACTGAATCTATGTTTACAGGAATTCTGCAGTTTGTATCGCCTTCAGAAACATTACGAGAACCACCCCACCCACATCCCAGCTAAAATTCACTCCAACCTGTTCCACTGTTTACTTGCAATAGTGAAAAGTGGCTCAGAAGAAGACAGGACCACCATATTCATTCAGCAATTGGAACAACTCATTGAAAAACTGAAGTCACTTCTCCCTTGTCTGCTGAAGAAAGTTGATGGTGTTGATGGAAAACCGTGCACAATAAACGACGATCTTGGCAGGTATGATCACGAAAATATACATAATTATGTAGTAAAATTTAAAGCAATGATGAAAGACAAACTGAAGTTAATGTTACTAATGGTTTGAAATTATTTACAGGTTATTTGGTATGAATCCTGGAACATACAACTTGAATATAGATGGACTCTCATGCGTTAAAGGCAAAGAAGGCAACTGCAGGCATAACCCACCCCCGCCAAAGAACAACTTCAATATTGACCTGAACAAACCAACCCCACTTTGGCAAACAATACAAAACGACGACGCCAATAACTCAGGGAGTGAATCCGAAGACTGTGCGAGAATCAATGCTGTCGACAAATGGCCAATAGCAAATAAGAGATTCAGAAACGTCAAACAACAGAAGACGCAAGATTTGAAATCCAAACGAATGAAACTCACATCAGAAAGTGCTGAAACAGTCATTGAGCTAGATGATTTTGTAATTTCCAATGACAATTTCACTGTGCCCATCGAAGTATCAAGTGTAGAAAATATACCAGAGCCATTAATAGACGAATTTATAGTAAAAAAAAGTGATAATAATTGCATTCAAGAACCACCTGTAGTCGTAAAGGACACACAAAAGATTACCACTTTTACTGATCTCCCAAAGAAAGCTAAAGGCGCGCATACACAGTTTCACAGCGCACACTTCGACATACGATCCTCACCTATAAAAACTTCATCAGCAGCAACATTTCGGAAATTCCAAATTAACCCCGAAAAACTCGCAAAATACGAAGTACAAATTATTCGGCCGTTGGAACTCGATAAGACCTGCGAAGAAGTCAGTCCAAATACCGAAGCGAGTTTCATGCAAAGTAATGAAACAGAGGTGATTCAAAATACTGATGTCATACCTGAACAAAGTGCAATACCTTCCACCGAAGACAACTCTGATCTCCAAAGTATATTTAGAGACGAACTAATAGAGTTGACTTGCAAGGACCCACATGATATCCCCAACGATTTGGCTTTTGCAGCTGCAAAAGAGTGGATTTGCAGCGGTTTAAGTTCAGTGGGTGGAAAATCTGATGACGATTTTATAAAGACTAATAGTTTAGATGAGAGCTTTATTAGTGCTAATAGTCTAATTGGTCCAGCTTTATTAGATTGTAAGGATGATTCTCAGAACAAATTGCAATTGAGTAGCGAGTTGGTCGGAGCTGGTACTCTGAGTGAGAATGATAACCACATAATGAACCAGGGCTCAGCATCAGTATTGAACTTCTTAGATTCTTTAGGCAGCGAGTGCCTGTCCTACCCTGAGACTGAAATTAGAAATAGCAATGTGGACTTTCAGTTAGATCTATTTTCTTTTAGTAATACATAGAATAAGGAAAAGTAATTATATGAATTATAGATAATATGGATAACTATTTTTATTTTGAACAAATTAAAATAAATCATTATTATAAAATATTTTCTTATTTTATTTGACTAGTAGATAGACCCTGTTGGTCCAGTGAATATGAATAAATATAGAACTAACCTGTAAAACCTCAGGATTTAGATACTTAACCAGCCACAAAATGAAGCAGATATTGCTCTTGAAACCAAATAAGCCCCCTCCAGCAGGTCACAAAAGTTAACATGACTCACACAGAAAAGCCACAAAATTAGTGTAAATAAGGAGATAATTTCATTCCAAAACATAGGCTTATTAGAATGGTCAGTTTTTTTTAAATTATTGTTCATTTACAATTACAAAGGACAGCAGGTAATGAAGAACACTTCATTTGTCATTAAATCAATTTTTATTAACACTAATAAATAAATCTAATATCCTAAAACTACTTAAGCTTGTAAAACAGGCCTCTCATTCTTTCCCTCCAGGTTCTGATTTGTGAGGGCATATCCAGTGCCTCCCCTTTGCAGGGGTATGATGTCTTTTTCTTTCAGTTTGTCTCCAGTGAGGGGGTGAGTCCAGTCCTTCTTTATAATTTTCTCCACACACTCCATTGTCACGACATGGCCAGTTGTTCTGAAAAAATGTAAATACAAAATTAAGGTTTAAGTGAAGGTAAGTGGTGCCTATCGACCATCAGAGATATTTGTGACATTTAGAGACAATATGTGTAAACACAAAAACTAATTGTACCTGATCACAGCGCAAGGAACAGCATTACTCAAGATATCATGAGTAACAGGGCACATGTATCTGTTCTCTTTTGCTATCAGCGACTTCTTATCATCTGGATCCTTCACTAGAGTCCAGTTAACTTCAATGAGATCCTTCATTTTGAGTGGCCGGCCACTGATTGGGCAATACACTGTCGACTCTGGCTTTTCTACTTTGGAAATCTTTGCATCAGGCAGCTGTGATGGCACCCAGAAGCTGGGCAGTTGTTTATCTTTCCCATTTGCCAGGTTGGACACAGAAGTGGATGTAGACGGGCCCGATTCACTCTTTACAGTGGAAATGTTCTTTTCCCTGTTCATGAACTTAATTAAGTTTGCCTCTTTCTCAGCAGCTGCAAGTTCCGCCTTCTCTGCTTCCTCCTTCTTGAGTTGTTTCTCGTACTGTTTGAGTTTTCTTGTGTACTCGTTCTTTTTAGTCACAATGTACTCTAGAATCGCCTCTTTATCAAACAAATACCCTTCCTTAGTGACAACTGGCGTTCTGCATGGCTGCAGTGTGAGGCTACAGCAATCGAAGTTCTTCACTGAATCCTTTCCTACTCTCTCACTCTGAGTGCCGTATCCAGACGCTGCAGCGTCTTTCTTCTTTTCGTGATACGTGTAAACAGCACCTGCTGTACAGTTTCTGGCATGTCGTGTCATCTTGTTACACTGTGGTTACACTCACTTGAAAGCAAAACATATAATGATTGTGCAGAATTTAACTTAAAAAATAACACCACGATCGGATCACCTGTGTTCTTTTTCCGTGCTTTCAAATCAATATCAATCAATCAACCACAGCAATCAACAAAAATGAATGAAAGAAAGCGAAAGCAAAAAGAAAGAGACCCATATCTGTGAAAGAGACAGAGCAGTTTTGTAGCTGTCACCTCATGTGTCAGTTATCTGTCACTGTCATTTAACTATAGGCCTGCCAGAAACTTGTCGATTGTTTTTTTTTTTCGCTCGCCNCCGGTATAATATTATTCTAATATACGTAACCGTATCCATAACCGAAACTTCATATCCTTATTATCCCTGTTACCAAGTACAAGTGCAGGCAGGGCAGGTAGTAAAGGCGCGCGCGCACGGGTGACTTTTGTCACAGTATGTCAACTACTAATTACTGTCATGGTGACAAAAGTTTCTGTGACTGATTGTACGGTAGTCAGTCACAGAAACTTGAATTTTGGTTTCATTAGAATAATATTTTTTAACCAAGGTAGATAATGTTAAAAATGGGATTATTTCCAAAAAACCAAAAGTTGTCGACAATTACAGCAAGAATTTACCAAGTGTTATACCATTTCGGAATCCTTACTAAATGCGCCAAATTATGACGTCACTTGCCACACTCACGTAGTACAATTTTTTTTCAGTACAGTCAGTTTAAACTACGCAAAATTTTTACTTTGAAATTTTTTTAGGGAATAATGTATTTTTTTCGTCCAAGCTGGAGCAGCTGGTTTTGTAATTTTGATAACAATTTAGAGAAGCATTATTCAGGGTTACATAACAAAAAAAAAATTTGGAAAAAGTGAAGATTTGTGGCAACACGAGCAAAAGGACCGTCACCTGGAGTAGAATTTTTAGATTTTTTTTAAATGCCTATTATTTTTAAAATATGCCACATAGATTTTTTTAAATATTTTTCTGATAACCAGCACAACTTGCCTCAACACCCAGTTCCGGCTTGACGTTACATTACGGGACACCCTGTATACCGGTTTTAATGATATATATCAACTTTTAAAATTTGTTACTGTATTTGTACTTTTTGACATAAGATTTTTATTTTTTTAGTTTATTTTGCCGTATTTAAAAGAAATTTTATGTTTTTGCTTTATTTGTCTGATTTTAAGTTTTAAAAACATTAAAAACATGTTTATGTAACACTTATGCAACAGTATTCATGAATAATACAATAAAATAATAGTATGGCTTTCATACAAAATTGATATATATCAAAGTTGATATATATCCGATATATATCATAAATATCCGATATTTTGATATTTATAATAAATATCGGATATTTTCGAACCCTGCTTGTGATAGGGGTGAGTAAAGATGATAGAGTGAGAGAGAGTAGTTGATGTGCTGTCGACTGCACTATCACGCCACAATACTGTTCTGTAGACTGGGGACCAGTGGTTGTAGTACTGACCTCGACGGGAGCGGGTTCCGGCGGCTGGCCGTTGGCTGTGGGCGGGTCGTCGGGCGGCGGCACCGGCATGGGAATGTCCACCACGTCCTGGTTGTCTTTGGTGCTGCCCTCCTTGCCGCTGTCGCCGTTCTCTTTGGACGCCTGTTGCACAAACTACAGGTTAGAAACAAAAGTAAGCAGTCGGTATAGTCTGGTCGCCGAGCACGTAGAATTTCGTCCAATGACCCCAAGCTACCCATCCTTATCGCTCGCGCGTGATTATATTGCTGTCGCGACTGTGCAACGGGCGCCCGCAGTGAGTGTGCGAGCGCGACAGCAACATAATTACGCGGGAGCTGAAGGTCATTGGACGAAATGCTACGAGCTCGGCGACCGGGCTTTAGCCTTATTTGCGTAAAAACTTCAACGACAACAAATCGCTGAGTTGCGTTATTGATAGAACAATAGACAGTTTGACACCATACCCCAATAATTCGAAACCACAACTTTTTTAAAAATACCCATTATTCTGGTCTTAAACACTTAATTAATTTTAAATTACCTGTAAATTGTAATTTTTGTTCGCATTGTAATTGAAAAAAGTAGTTTGATTGTGTTGACAAAATAGTGACGTCACTTGCTTGGAGTGCCATACAAAATCTATGGGAGAATTTCGTTTTGACAGTTTAAAAAAAGTACGTCAATTGATTGGTGGTGTCAACATGTCTATTATTGTAAAAGTGCTTTTTAAAAGTCTACTTGCATAAATAAAATGAGTTTATTTTAACTTTACCAGACTAACCTGCGTTGAACTGTCCGCAGTGGCGTTGGACAGCTCGTCGATTGTGAGTATCTCTGGGTTGTTGATAGACGTGGAAGACATTGCGCTCTGCGACTCCTCTTCTTTCTGGTTTAGGATCTCTTGCAGTTTCTATAAAAAATTAAATCTTATTATTGTAAATTCGCCATTATTTCAAACCCCCAAGAGAGAGGTAAGTTTGACTAAGCCCCGGTCCTTAAGCACGTAGAATTTTGTCCAATGACCCCAAGCTACCCATCCTTATCGCTATCGCGTAATTATATTGCTGTCGCGACTGTGCGACGGGCGCCCGCAGTGAGTGTGCGAGCGCGATAGCAACATAATTACGCGGAGCGATAAGGATGGGTAGCTTTGGGTCATTGGACAAAATTCTACGTTCTCACGGACCAGACTATAGTGTGAAGTATAAGCAAGGCATCATCATCATCACCTCAGCTATAGGACGTCCACTGCTGAACATAGGCCTCCCCCAATGGTTTCCATAATGGCCGGTTGGTGACGGCCTGCGTCCATCGCCTTCCTGCTAACTTTATGAGGTCGTCGGTTCACCTTGTGGGTGGGCGTCCTACGCTGCGCTTTCCAGTACGTGGCCTCCACTCCAGAACCTTGCTGCCCCATCGGCCGTCAGTTCCGCTTACTATTTGCCCTGCCCATTGCCACTTCAGGCATATTAGATCCCAAAACAATACAACATTTGCTGTTTATTGTTTTTAGAAAACCTTATAATCCCTTAGGGACAAAAGTCCCTCTACCTGTGACGCTAAGCAAATAACATCACTAGTGGTAGTGTAACAAACGAAAATATGAGGGTAGATGATAATCTTCAAGCCCGCCCGAACGGACGACGCCGCGAACCGCCAGTCTGCTTGTGACCACGGCTGCAGCATCGCAGCCGAAACGTCAAGCCGTGAGTACATAATGTAACTCATTAATAAACGTCGCGTTAAGACCCGTGTCTTACTATTTTAATTGAAATGGAACGCCAAAGTTTAAAACCTTATATGACGCTAAGCATGTCGTAAAACTGAGTTTGGTTTTACTTTAATTTGAGGCTTTATGTTATTAAATTGACTGTACCGTACCTTGGCTCTCTTGTGCTTGTCTTTGACTAGTTCTGCGAAGAGACTTGTATCGCTGATTTTCTCCTTGAAGTCTATCCGGCGCTGTAGGAACGTGGACGGCGGACTCGGCGACTCGTGCTTACTTCTGCTGGGGAATAAACGCTTTTATTAACTGGTGGTATTCACAAATCTATTTGAAGGTTTAAAGAACTCTTTTAGTCTTAGCACATTGTAAGATTAACCCTGTTTTGAGTCGCAGCAAAAGAAAATCAGTCACGAGAGTCTATCACGCCAGTTGTTCGTTCGTAGACATTGATAACTCAAAAAAAGACAATTTGGGTATACTTTTGAAGAATCATAAATACGACTAGCTGTCTTCCGTGTCGTTATACTTTTTATCTATTCCATCCAATACGTATAATATTACAACTTTATTTTCTTAAGTTCATCTATAGTCTGGTCTGTGAGCACGTAGAATTTTGTCCAAAGACCCCAAGCGACCCATCCTTATCGCTCGCGCGTAATTATGTTGCTGTCGCGCTCGCACACTCACTGCGGGCGCCCGTCGCACAGTCGCGACAGCAATATAATTACGCGCGAGCGATAAGGATGGGTAGCTAGGGGTCTTTGGACAAAATTCTACGTGCTCACGGACTGGGCTTTAGTGTTCTGTCTCCAGACGATATTTACATTGATGGCCCCGAAATGTCGTGAACCTTCAACAAATCAAGCATGTCGCGAAGTCACGGAGTGTATTATCAGAGTAAATACAAATGAGTAGGTCATCTTCATAGAAACGGACCGAGCGTGGTTTGTATGTGAGCGCGCGCCAATACGTATGCGGCGCGCACGCACACACTGACAAAATTTAGCGTTGATTAGCGGTAAGTTGCCCCGAACCGCGCTCGAGCGTTTCTATGAAGATGGATTTAATAATACCAGAGTAAATACAAATGAGTATTGTATTTACTCTGGTATTATTAAATCCCGGTCTGTGAGCACGTAGAATTTTGTCCAATGAACCCAAGCTACCCATCCTTATCGCTCGCGCGTAATTATATTGCTGTCGCGACTGTCCGACTGGCACCCGCAGTGAGTGTGCGAGCGCGACAGCAACATAATTACGCGCGAGTGATAAGGATGGGTAGCTTGGGGTCATTGGACAAAATTCTACGTGCTCGCAGACCAGGTTTTAGACGACATTTACATAGATGGCCCCGAAATGTCATGAACCTTCAACAAATCAAGCATGTCGCGACGTCACGGAGTGTATTATTACCTGTGTCGCTCCCGCTCCGCCTCGCGGTGCCTCGGGCGGTGGCGCGGCGGCGACGCCGTGGAGCCCCGCCGGCGACCGCGGGACGCCGAGCGCCGCCGCTTTAGGGAGCTCCGACTTGGGGACCTGATGAAGGGAACACATAGATTTATATACGTGTATCGCTAAATTCACAGGGATACAATTCCGTTACCGTGAAGGAAAAAGAAGCAGAGGCAGACAAGCGAAAAGATGGGAGGACGATATCCGCGAATTAGCAGGGCCATTATGGCCACAAATGGCTAGAAACAGAGAAGCATGGAGATCATTGGAGGAGGCCTATGTCCAAGGACAAACTGGAGATGAGTGCAACTAAATTGTAAAATGAAATGTTAATGTTGTAAAATACCTTGTAATCCAGTAATAAAGGCTTATTATTATTATTATCGTTACATAGTTTTTTTGTTAAACTAGATGAACATGGGCATTTGGGGAGCCCCATATAGACTAAGAGCTAGTGAACGCCAGACCTACGTTTTTTTATAAAAGCCACGATGACCCAAACTTTATGATTCACCAACATTCTATCCTATATTGGGAGCATACGCTGACAAACTTTCAGCTTTTATAAAATGACGTAGGTCTGGCGTTCACCAGCTCTTAGTCTAATATGATCGCAGTCGCTGGGTAAAAGTAACGGTGTCTTCAATTTATTAAAAGCCTCGAAACCCACACGACGACTGAATACCTGTTCGAAAAACAGCCCAAACGTCAAGCTGTAAATACTTGTAGTTGTAGAAGAGGCAACAAAAAAAATTACTGACTTAACAGAACTTTACATTATTAACTCGAGGACAATTACACACTTCTATTTTTTACCTGTAGCTTGAGAAGCCACCAGGCACAACCGCACGTCATATCACGACACGACGCAGTTCATTATAATAGGGGAGGTCACGGTAGTTTCGACGATCCGTCAACAATTACCTGTGCTTAGATATACAAAAACATATACCTGTGCGTAGATAATACATGTGAACGAAAACATATACCTGTGCGTAGATAATACTTGTGCACAAAAACATATACCTGTGCGTAGATAATACTTGTGCACAAAAACATATACCTGTGCGTAGATTATACCTGTGCACGAAAACATACCTGTGCGTAGATAATACTTGTGCACAAAAACATATACCTGTGCACGAAAACATACCTATGCATAGATTATACCTGTGCACGAAAACATACCTGTACTGTGCATAAATTATACCTGTACAGTGTACACGAAAACTTATACCTGTGCGTAGACATGTACCTGTGCAGACATTATCCTGTGCGTAAACACATACCTGGGCGGTTGCCGTGCTGCTTCGCGGTGGCGTTCGCGGTCGCGGCTGCGGTGGCGGCGGGAGCGACTGCGGCGGCGGTGGCCGCGTCGGGGACTGTATTCGCGACCGCGCACCGCCTCGTGGATTGGGGAGTCTGAAATTATTGTGCTGGTAAGACTACTGAACGGAAGGGAAAACTGTATAAAGTCCGGTCGCCGAGCACATAGAATTTCGTTCAATGGCCCCAAGCTATCCAACCTTATCGCTTGCGCGTAATTATATTGCTGTCGCGACTGTACGACGGGCGGCCGCAGGGAGTGTGCGAGCGCGACAGCAATAAGGATGGGTAGCTTGGGGTCATTGGAAGAAATTCTATGTGCTCGGCGACCGGACTTTAGTAACGAAAATATTTATTGAGCCAATAATGCTGTCGTAAATGTACAAGACATTCAACTGTACCATGGGACAACTCAACAATCACTGGTTGGGTTTTATTGGAGGCCAAGCTGTAGGAGCCTAGTAGTAGTGTAGGCTATACAAGAGTTGTAGGAGTAGGAAAGAGAGATGGGATAAGTCCCGTTGTTGTAAATGTAGATTTTTGTTTTAGAATAATAAAATAACGTTTGTTCAACACTTAGGGGCCGTTCAAGTATTACGTAAGCACCAAGAGGGGGTGGGGGGTCTCTGTTTTGCTTATTTTGGATGACATGGGGGGTAGGGGGGTCTAGATGATGATTACGTCATCGTTAGTTATTTACGTTTTTTCGGGGAAAACATTTATAACTTAAAATATTTACGTAAGCATAGGGGGAGGGGGTAAGTGCTTTGCTTACTTTTGATGACAAGGGGAGCGGGGGGGTAAAAAATGGTAAGAAATCTGCTTACGTAATACTTGAACGGCCCCTTATGATGGTGAAAACAGTTTATGACATAACTATTACATGAATATGATGCGCTGGGCAGAATAAGAATGGATCTGGGTCTAGAAGCATATTCTAACTCTTCAAGGAATACCTAGACTTAAGACTGATGGAGGTTATTTCAGAATAACAAGAAAATAAATAAGGAAAATGGAAACAAGATTATTTGGGTCGCTGTGTGGGTGGATCTTAATAATAATAATTAATAATAATTATAATAATTATTATTAATTATTATTATTAAGATATAGGATATAGGATCTTAATAAGATAATATTAAAAATGACATACCTTACCGCAGGTAAATTGATTAATATACGACAGCTTTATTGGTTCAATAAATAATTTGGGATTTCCATTCTTATTTTATTACACAACGAGCTGTTCCCGTTTCTACGTACGAGTGTACGTTTTTCAGAGCGGATTCCTATTTACTACTTACTTTATTTATACATATTATTTAAACTTTACTTCAAGACAAGGACCAAAAATTCAAGACCTCTCATTTATATGGTACTGCATGCAGTAAATCTAATCAGGAACTACAAATATTCACTGAATAATTTTAAACTTCAATTAGATAAAATAAAACTACGATTAAGGAAACTAAAGACACGAAATCGCACGTTCAGGACTATGATGATTACTGTAACTAAATCAATAGTCCATGCAGTTCTATACTGAAGAACACACATGCTAAGCAGTAAACAAACTACAATATTATTAAATAATGATACAAAATACACACAGCTGTGTGTAAATTATTGGATATTTCCAAGGATTTTTTATTTGAAGACAATATTGAGGATAGATTTTAGTTTCCAAATCTGTTTGGCTATTTAAATTTTGTGAGCTTGTTTCCGAAATGAAATGTCCAAATATAGAAATTATTCCTTTTTATAACAATAAAATTGTCAATCCCTGCTTTCGTTTCATGAATCCGTATGAACACATTTCACTATAGCATCAAAGTTTCAAAAGCCACATATATTTAAAAGCCATACAAAAAAACTAAAACGGACGGTCATTATTTTTTTTATAGATAAAAAAATTAAATCTACTTTATAATTTTTTACTCTAATCATCTGCTTAAATTACAACTACTTTCCGTACGAGACACACATAAAAATATAATAAAATCCCAATACCTAATCCACGTTTCTACCATACAAACCCATAACAGGTGCAGTCAGCGTCAAATAAATCGCGAAACCTAAAGTGGCTAAAAAGTTGATAATAACACAAACTTATTCCAATGTAACGACGTGTTGCGAACTTTTTGGCAACTTTGGGTGTCACGAACCATTCGACGCTGACTGTACATTGTACATACATCTATAGTCTGGTCTCTGAGCACGTAGAAATTTGTCCAATGACCTCAAGCTACCCATCTTTATCGCTCGCGCGTACTTATATTGCTATCGCGACTGTGCGACGGGCGCCCGCAGTGAGTGTGCGAGCGCATCAGCAACATAATTACGCACGAGCGATAAGGATGAGTTAGCTTGGGGTCATTGGACAAAATTCTACGTGCTCGGAGACCGGGCTTTACTACAACAAAAGGTAGAGTAACCTTTTTCGCTTCACGATACCTATTACGGAATGTTGTTGTATTCAGCAGTTAAATCAGCCAATAGACAACAGTACACTATCAAAATAACTACACAGCCCCGCTGCACCAAGATAAAATGGACAACCATTCTACATACACAAATACAGGGTGAAATTACAAACAGTTGCTAAAAAATTTTAATAAGTTCTTTAGAACGATATAACTTTATTTATCGTAATTATTTTTAACCGTAATATTTTTCGTAAAAAAAAAATAATTCATGAGTGCGCATATCTTAAGTTTTAAAGGCTAAGGCTTATTTCGCGCACCATAACGTCGATTATGCTTTGCAGTTAACTGTCTGTGGGTATTTTTCTATGAACGAAACGAAGTACATCACGAGTACCAATATGAAACCCCGCACAGCGGATAAAAATGAAAAGAAAAAAAAATTCTTTACATAAATCGATTAAGTCACTGATTCCGAGTCGCTCCTAATTTGGCAACTGTTTGCAAAGTCACCCTGTATAATCTCAGCTACAGATATAGTGATTTGACTACCTCGAGGCGACTCAAATGAAACCATTCGGCTCTATCCGTCTCTTACTCACCTGCCTGCGACGCCGGCATGGGTGGGGGAGACGGATAAAGCCGATATATCGAAATCGGTTTCCGGGGGAGACCTGCAGAGACAATAAAATACATTTGCAATAATCGTAAAAGCAGTCCGGATAGAACAAAAGAACATCGCGAAATTAGAACTGACCCTGCGGGGTTACTCCGAAAAACGTTATCCGGAGTTTCGAATGTTGCCATCCCTCTCACGCAAAGCGAGATGCCAGCATAAGAGACGGTGACAACGAAGCCCGAAACTACGTAAATAGCGTTTCGGAGTAGCCCTGCTGATTTCGAATAAAATGCAATGTTGAAATATCGATTATTCAGTCGATTTTAAAAGTTGTAACGTGACGTCATGGTCGAGTAATTTTCACCAAGACTTCAATACACTATTTCAATGGGGTTCTGTTCATACTTTTAGCCCCTTAAAATTATTGTATCCTCAGCTAACCAACAATACGTGGTTCTATAACGTTTACAAATAAAAATGTAAGTGCATGATAATGAAAAATGGTATTTTAATTTCAAATTACTTTCATGGAGAACTGAGAAATGACGTCATCTAAGTTATTGTTTCTTATCATACTACAAAGGTGTTACTTTACAAGCGCTTCAGCAGCTATCTAGATCAACTAATTCTCATTAATTGGAGTAAGTAGGTATAAAAATAGCAGGTTGATATTTTCTGGCACTACAAAGTTCTCAACTCACCTTGGCGAGTGGTGAGTGGGCCTAATACGTCTGCCGCTATAGTAGAAAAAAAACCGAAACTCCTGTCTGATATGTATATCTATCTTAAATTTTAGAACATGCAAATATGGGGAGTACTGTAGTCTTCTTACCTGGTACCATGATAGGCGACTGCACTCTATGGTCTGGCCAGTAGTCGCGTCGCACGCGTTCATATTCGGGCTCGTCTGAGTCGATCGTGACGGTATCATGGTACGGAGGCGCGGACGGCGTGTGTGGGGTCGTCGACTTCTGTCTTCGCCTGTGAAATCAAATCAAGAGAATGAAGCAAGTTTTAAAAAAACCTGCCAAGTGCGAGTCGGACTCGCGCACCGAGGGTTCCGTACCATTGATTTATGAAATTAAAATTATTATTTTTTATTTAAGTTATTAGTATGAAAGATTACGCGGTAATAAGCGGTTTACGATTTACGAGGTATTAAAAAAAAACTACTTACCAGATCTCGTTCAAAACAATTTTCGTTGGTAGTTTTTATAGTAATGTACATCATATGTTTTTTTTGGATATTTCATTTTCTTATTTTAGAAGTTAGAGGGGGGGGGGCAACTTTTTTCCACTTTGGAAGCGTCTGTCACGCAAACTATTAAACTATTCGGTTTAGAAAAAAAATGTTTTAGAAACCTCGATATCATTTTTGAAGAACTATCCATAGATGTATGCATTTGATGAAAAAAATTTTTTGAGTTCCAGTTCTAAGTATAAAAATAGCAAAAATACAAAAATAATAATAAGTACTCCCGTATTTATTATTATTTTTGTATTTTTGCATCAAAATCTTAATGCGGTTCACCGAATACATCTACCTACCAAGTTTCAACAGTATAGCTCTTATAGTTTCGGAAAAAAATGGCTGTGACATACGGACGAACAGACGGACGGACGGACAGACAGACATGACGAATCTATAAGGGTTCCGTTTTTTGCCATTTGGCTACGGAACCCTAAAAATAATGGTATTCAACTAATCTACTACAGAACTAGCGCATAACAGAGGCAATGCCTGAGGTATGAAAGCACGGGAGGGGTGACATTATGACGTGACATTGAACGGCCCACGTCCGAAGCACATTTGAAGTCTCGCTGACATATTTTGACGTCACAAAAACTCTCTCGTGCTTCTCCCATGCTTCAGGCACTGACTCAATTACCTGTAAACAATTGAAGTTAAATTAACTCAATTTAAACAGGTTAATTAAACAAAATAGACAAAAAGCTCTACTGGGTGCAGTTAAAAAGAAATAGTTTCCTAATTGAAACATAATTACCTCATTTCACTAGTGGTGTAAGCATGAAAAATGTAAATAAACAAACAATTAGATTATTATCAATTAGTATAGATTAAAGTAAAATAAGTCGAATTTTTGCAATCAAGTGCTGATCGATCAGTTGCACATTTTAGGAAATAATTTGAAGAAATAAATAACTTTGTCAATAAATAAGTATTAACGCAATTCGGATTTAAGATATTGTTGATCAATTTCTCAGTCATTAACAAATACCTATTTATTAGCAAAGATCTGACTAGTTAAGACAACCCTAAATGTGCAACTGATCTACTACTATTACCTACTGCATATTATGGGCTAAGATGGTAATCAATTCAGAATGCATGAACAGAATGCATTATACATATTGACCAAGCAAGGACATTGTCACAGTGATATTTGTTTGCGTTTCTAGGCAGAAATTATTTTTTGAGAAGGCACCCAGATTATTTGGACAACTGCCTTAAGGCCNTTGTAACAAGGATGATAACGCGCCAACAATCCTATCCGTTGCGTCCCCTTCATTTCTCGACTCGCGACCGCTGGCCCGCGTTGGCTCCGCCGTGACCTCGACTGCAGTGGAGTTCGTCGCCTGGCTTGACGAAATGGGCTGCAGCGGTGGCGTCTGGCACTCGCGTGGTGGACATGTCGTTGCCGTAATTGTCGATGGAACGGATAGCCTATTCTCAATAGCATTTAGTCTTCCGAGAATAACATCTAACGATTGGTTACGAGGGCTATCACGACGTCCGTATGAACTATCGCGACGCCGTTTACTAGATCTATGACGACGGTTATAAGAACTACTTTCACGACTGGAACTACGATCTCTTTTCTTGGATTTATGTTTAGGCATTATGAACGCGTTCTAAATTATTAACACTTACGCAAATAATAAATTCCAAGATTTCACACAATCCACCCACCACCACAATTTAAAAATTTTAGCGTTTAAAATGATTCAGCGGCACACACAAAAGTTAAATTTTACACCGTTAGCGGAAGGCTACGTGGCCTATCCCACTTCTGATCTTATAAATCAGATGGGAAACTATTTTTTTAAAAAAGAAAAGAAAACGAGAAATCTAACAAAAACTTATATTCCAAACGTTATTTTAAAATTACAAAATTACGATCTCCTAACAACCTAAGACACGTCCACCACTCTCGAGCGCCGAAGGAAAAGTGAGCTCCGTCCGTAGCAACAGGCAGCAACCTGCGCCACGATCACGCCACCGCTGACGTCACCAGTACGGGCTGCTAGGCCCCGCCTCTTCTTCAGTTATTTGTAATAATATATTATTGAAGAAGAAGGCTGGAAGATGTAGCGTGGGCAGGCCTCCTACTAGGTGAACCGACGATCTGGTAAAGAACCTGGATGTGGGCAGCGCAGGACCGTTCATTGTGGAAAACCTTGGGGGAGGCCTTTGTCCAGCAGTGGACGTCATTTGGCTGAAACGAACGAAGTATTATTGAACGAAGCTAACTGCGAAACGGGGTTGGGTTTTTGGAGAAAAGAAGACGCCAGTGTGTTAAAACGACATAGATAACTACATAAATAACACGACAGTTTCAACGGAAAAAGTAAATAACTAATCAAGAACATCCAAGATCAAACGTGAACTGATTCCTTAATAGGTATGAATGATTTATGTTAGTAATGGCAGATCAGTGGTTTGCTAAAGAGTGAACTGCTTGTTTTATTCTAAGCTATGGCACAGCTGTTCGCTGAAGTGGACTCTCCACTAAAATAGTTGTTTGCTGGGACGGTTTGTTCTTAGATTCCATTATGTGGAAAACATTTAAACGGGCAGATTATACTTCATGATTTACAATTTAGGAACAGACAACTGGTTTTCGGTGCTTGTTGCTCTATAATTTGGTCGGGAGTTTCAACTTTAAGTAATGTTATACAGTTTATTGCAACCGCTAGGAAATGTAGAGTTATTGAGTCTGGAACATTATTGAGTTATCTATACTAATATTATAAAGCTGGAGATGTGGAACGTGACGCTCAACCACCATAAGGAAGCTATGGTGTTAGTGTATCTACTTTACTTTATCTTGGTTTGTCTATATANTAATAGACACAATCGATGCGCCCGCGTCGCGATCTGAGACCCGAATGGGGGGCGGGCAGCGCCGCGCCGCTCTGCAGCTTGGGCTCCTCGAACCGGTCGCGGCGATGCGTCTGTGTGCGTGCGCGCTGACACAGACGCCTTAACACACATTTTTTTCTTTTTCAAACTACCCACATTTTCTCTAACATTCTCCCGCGATCACTCGCTGCTTTCAATGTTAGTTTACGAGTTATCGTCACTCACTCCGGACGTCGTCGCGTCACCGGAGTCACCGTTTTTTTCTGGAAAATTGTACCGTAGAATTTTCTGTTTAGTGCAGATATTTTTATTGAAAAATAGTGTTTAATACTACAACTACCTAAGTTGCTATGGTTTAGCTTGTGTAGTGTGTGTTTATGAGGTGTGCTGATGATCTACTGTCAACAACTTCTTCCATTCTGGAGGGCAAACGAAGAAATAAGCAACCGAGATTCAACCGAATTCGTGGTGCTGACGGCTGTATTATTTATGGGTAAGTGTTCTGACTGTAGCAATAGCAGGAAGCAATCTCCTTTCTTACATTTCTCTTCTGTATTTTAACACGAACTTACAGGTAAAACCTAACGTTAGACAACGATGAATATACTTAGGTACCTCAATAGTGGGGCAATCACCTGACTTTTCTAATGCCATTCTAGAGCGGGTACGACGTGTCATTTAAAAACATCTTAGGATGGGAATTTCTAGTTATTTATATATTATTTGTACCCAGTTGATTCATGCAGTTGTACCCGACTGTACAGTGCTAGGTGAAGCATCAAACTGTTCAGTATTAGCTGAAATCGACCTGTGCCGACATGTTGCATTAGTATGCAAACCTCTCGTTACTAACTCCATTACATATTATGTTGATATTAGTATGTTCAAACATTATCCTACTAATATTATAAATTCGAAAGTTTGTATGGATATCTGGATTTCAACATGTTTTTTACTCTTTCACGCAAAAACTACTAAACGGATTTTGATGAAACTTTACAGTATTATTTTTTATAACCCAGAATAAAATCTAGGCTTTAATCTATGACGATCGATTTGACCGCGGGCAAATGCTAGTAGTAAATAAACTAATACATAGCGAGTAGATTACTTGACCCTATATGATTGACACCTGGCTGATTTTGGCAAACCTACCGTACCGTGCTTTTGTTGAAACAGACGTGGTATAGGTTCAAATCCCACTAGGGGCAATGAATGTGTGAGCATTACTGTTAGAATAAATGGAACGCGACCATTTTATATTGTGTGTTGGCAATACGGAAATCCGTTTAATTTTGTCATGTTGTCACTATCGCTGCTGCCATTTTGAACTCTGTAATGTGTGTGCGCTCTAAAGCTCTAAACCGAATATGTAGAAAGTAATATTCCTCAATATTTCTTTTATTTACCACAAAAGCTACAATTCCTTCATGGTAGCCTGGTTAGCTTGGTTCCTATTGGTAGGTAGGTACTTACCTAGAGTCAGAGTCATTTGCGAACAAAGGCATGTAAATAACTTTTTCAAAGATATTGACAAAAATTACCTATTGCAATTTTGTTTTATACCTGGAAATGTTGGGTACAAGTTAAGAACTAGAAAATTGGTCTAGAAAGACAGGAGCGTTCTATAGCTTACCCGTTCAAAAGTGGGTCATTATTTCCCTTGACCGCTGGGACCTCTGCCCCTTTTCCCCCATAAATCTGTCATGTGGTTTACTGTATGTCCAGTAGTACGAGTGTAATATGTTGTTGTTGGTTATTTTGTAGCCCATTCGTTAGTCACCGCGGCACCGGTCTTTGTTTGTTAAAAAATATTAATTTGTTACAAATGGGTTTACTCGTATGTTCAAGTTTAGAAGGTGCAAAGAATTATTAATTAGAAAAAGGACTTAAATTACTTGATGATGATGCTTAGTCCGTCCCTTTTTCTTTGAAACCAGTATGGAATATAAAAGAGAGGGGCTAAGTGTGCCGATAACCATAATCTATGCTTGAGAAGTAATAAAATTAATCTACACTAATAAATGATTACTTAATTTACACTCTAAATACGAAGCCCTTAATTGCTTGAGTTTGAATCTAAGCTAAACCACGGTTTTAAAATAACCTTACACCTGTATTTACAAACGATGGTTGCTTAAGTAAAGCAGCAAATCGTACGCACAGCGTTGAATAGAGCTCTGTGATTTCATCGTGTGTAACCCTGTGCGTCCACGCGCACTGTGAGACCTCACAGTAATGTTTGTGAATACGGGCGTATGTCTTAGACCTGCGTGTTTTCACTAAAAACTCATTCCCCCAACTTAAACCTGTACAAGCCCGGAATAACCAGAATTCCTGGATGCAGCTGGAATTTCTCGCCCCCATTCCACGTCACGGCGTGTCAGACGTAAGCTCGCGAAGTTATTTTTCATTTAACTGCAGGATACAGGCTTCTGTAGGTGTGGCAATCACTCACTCGGAAAGCCTTTTGAGTTATAACTCAGGTGTTAAGTGGTTAAGTGAAGTCAGAGGAGTTTAAGAGGTGAGTTTTGGCGAGGATTGGTTATTGACGACTGCATGGTCTGGTACTATGTAGTGAAGTATATACATTTAATTGTGGTCTACTTGCCATACCATACTAATAATCCAATTTATTTGGGGCTACACTCATGCCATTCATTCTTAAAAACTAAAGGAAAATATTTATATTATGCTTGTTATATGATGTAAGTAGTACATTCGACAGGACATCATACTCTAGGTACAATTTATTGCAAATAATAAGCCATTGATTAACGTGGGCCTGCCTATTAAAGCTGGGATGTACCATTTTACTTTAACTTTGACAAACGTCAAAAATCTAAACTCGTACCGTTAAAGTTAGGTGGTGCAACTCAGCCTAATGATACAATTACTAATAATCACGTTAACCCTTTTAACGCTGATGTTGGAAAAGCCGAAAAGACAATGCCCGAAATTGGCGTCTTTTTTTTTCGCGCGGCCATCGACCAAACCTTGTTTTTTGATTACAAAATAGTGTAATAAACCAAACTTACTATGACATGTACCTCTAAACTCAGTCTGAACTGAGTTACGAGCATTAGAAGTTTGATGATTTTACATACTACATTTGCTTTTTGCGCGCAAGTTTTGTAAGAAATTGCAACAAAATAGTGACATTGTATGTGTAAACAAACAATACCATCCATTAAAGGCTTCAGACATCAGTATGGAGTAAAATCAGCGCAATAAAAAATAGCGCAATATTTTGTTGCAATTTCTTACAAAACTTGCGCACAAAAAGCAAATCTAGTATATAAAATCATCAAACTTCTAATGCTCGTAACTCAGTTCAGACTGAGTTTAGAAGTATTCATTTTATAAATACTAAGTTTGGTTTATTACACTATTTTGTAATAAAAAAACAAGGTTTGATCGATGGCCGCGCGAAAAAAAAAGACGCCACCCTCCATACAAAATTTGGCATTGCCATTTAGAATACCTACCTACTTCTACCACATTTTTCCAGCGGTCCTCTCGAAGTGGCATTTTTACACCTCAACTCT